ACATAGACAGGGGAAGAACCACACAGCTCTCAGTCCTGGTCGCTAAGTACTAGCTACAGACTGGGCAAACCGAGAAAGAAATGAATCATTGTATCTTCAAGATAAAGCAATTTTAAGACTCAGTCTCATCACCTGGAAGCAAGGCAGAACCCCCTGGAAATATACCTGTTGAAACTTCTTATGAGGCTGCAAAATTTAATTGATCTAAGCATCTCCAGTTTTTCAATTACCAAAAACGAACCAGATCATATACCAGCAGAGGCGTAAAAGAAGCACAGTAGAGGCAGAAGATATGTATAGTTATATGCTGCTATACTTCTCTGCTTAAGCATTTGGAATTAATTGCCAGCTGCTCTTCATATCTATGGGAGTTCAGCCAGGACTTTAATAAGGTCAAAACATGAAACAGGTCTCAAGTCTTTCTGCCCACACGACAGTCTCACAGCAAGGCCTTCAGACAGGTCCCAGGACTAGTCTCTAACAGAACCAAAACCAAGTAGCAAGCAGCAAGGGTCTGACAATGAGATCTAAACTTTTCCTTCACAACTGAGTCCTCTTTGGTACTGGAATAAAAGGAGAGGAAACAATTCTTTTTCTGCTTGTGGACCCTTTCATTCTTCTGCAAGGAATTGAAAAAGATAAAACTCTAAGGACTAAGAGCTGTATTCTGTGAAAAAATTACAGCAAGGGAAGTTGGACAGCATTATTAAGTTATGGCAAGATAGTTGTGAGCGGGAAACCAAAGGGTGAGACTGTAAATTCACTACCTTATGTCACATATATAAGCCACTTTTGGTTTCTCTGTTACATTTTGTCTCATTTGAATGAAGTTCCTTCCTCTTTTGGCCCAATTCAGAGTTTCTGTCTAGCTTTACTCAAAAGCTGTGTTGTAAATCCTGAGTTTATTGTAGCTTTTCCTTGCCACCTCACCTTGTATCACAGGGGCACACAAAAAGGACAAAATGTGTCATCCCAGGGCTGTGTAAGGTATCAGCATGTTTCTGGATTTGCTGCTGTCACTTGCAAGTGTGACATTACCAGCAAGCTGACATTAGGAGAGACAAAAATATGATCATTTCTTTCTGCTCCCCACAAAAGGTCTGATGCAAAACTCACTGGAATTGCTGGAAATATAAGGGGCTTTGGCTCAGGCCCAAACAGACCAGCCAGAAATAATGCTGAAAATGTATTTGGAACTGAGATGGTACAAAGGGACTAATCCTAGTCACCTTCCCTTAGTGGAAGGCTCAGAGTGATTTGAATTGGCTACCTTCTGTTGTGAATTAAGCTCAAAGCCCCAAAGGCAACTTGATTTCAGCCATCTATCTTTGCAGCCTCCTCCAAACTCGATCCAGAGGGAAAAGTGACTAATCCTATTCAGTTGCTACACTGAGCTAGTGCCATCGATTAAAAAGGCTTGAGGCACAGGGAAAATGAATAATCTGGGTCAGTTTTGCTCTGCAAGTCCTTTGCACAACTCGTTCAAGAAAATAAAAAAAAGTAAGGACACAGTGAGAGGAAGCACTGATAAGAAGGAAAGCTCACCCAATAAAGTGCACACACTTCACAGGAAAGAAATACAAGCAGATCAGTGAGGTTTTGTCCAAATTCCTAAGATGGGATGAGACTGATAACAGGAGTTAGTTCTCCTATTTGCTGGAAAAGAGGATCATGTTTTACACTCTTTTGCAGTTCTTCCATGTCCATGCAAAGCTGAGAGGCCAAGCATGGTAGCAAGGCAAGCTACAAAAACATTTCCAGGCACAGAAGTCGGCTTCTTGGCCCCCCCTCTCTCCACGGCTGTGGGTATGGCATGGCTAGCACAGGAGAACAGCCCATTGCTGATCCTAGCCATGACCTAGAAGGTGAGTCATAATATGGGAGTTGCCACTGTAACAGCTGCTCAAGCGATGACATTAGTAGGTGCTTTCAGCAAAAGCATTTTTGGGTAGGCTTCAAAGTAAATAACTGCTGCTGCTGGTTATCTTATTATTACTTTGAACAGGGTTACCAAGGACTGTGTGCTGCAGAAAAGGTTAGTTTACAGATAACCCCCTACCAAGGTTATTAACATAATATAGGAAAATTGCCTGTGTGATTTTATAGCACTCTTTACATTTTCCCTGCCCCTTATTACAGAAGTGGAGGGCTTTCGTTATTAATAACAATTGTCTGACTTGACTTTGGTGCATGTTTCCTGTGATGACAGGAAAGGGCTGGAGGTTTGTTTGCGGCGAAAGAGAAGATTTTCTGTTTTAAAAGAGTTGTTCCATAAGCAGTAAAATTTGTGAAGCCTGGTCACCTTGTTTTGTGTCCTCTCATCTTCTGCATCTGTCACCTGACACATACCACCATACCGCCAGCCCCATCCTCCACAGCCCCCTGGGTCAATTAGGAGAATGCCGACAGAGCAGCTGGTTGCTGTTAAGTCTACAGGAGCTGAATTCTGACCCCCTTTTGTCTAGGAGGGGCACGAAGCCATCAGATCGCCCACCTTATCTAAATGCCATTTTTCATGAAGTTTTACGTGTCTTGAAGGCCATGGTCAGTGGTGGAGATGTCAAAGCTCCAGTTACTAGAGGGAAGAACGACTACGGCTTCCTAAGTGTCATTGCTACAGGTCAAACTAGACAGGTTGTCTCTGCTAGCAAACTGCTTTTGCAGGACAGTTCACTGAGGCCTCATACATGGTACCACAGGTAATAAAGACTGAAGAGGTGGGTTAGCAGAAAAAAAAAAAAAAAGCTCCAAAATCAAAACTCCCCACTCAAAGACCATGTAAGGTTGACACTCCAGTGGAATTCCTTCTGTTGTCAGGGTGATGCTCAGAGTGTCACTGGGGTGTATGTGTCTAACACACTGCATGGCTCAACCAGGAGGTTGGGCGGCAAGTTTGGGGAGTGTAGGCAGTTTTGGGATGGATCAAGAGGAAATGAGGTGCTGCTGAGATATGTGCAGAAAACGAAAGAAAGAGAGAGGATAAGGAGAGAGAAGCAGCATATGCAGTGCTGCAGAGGAGAGGGTAACAAGGGGAAAGACTGTTCCTGCATGGATGTCCCTTCTAGGGATACCTCTGACTCAAGGATTAGGGGATATAAATGGTGAAAGACCAGTGCCACGACCAGATCCTTGTGTTGAGTCACAAAGTGTGAAGCTGCTGTCCCATGGAGCAGGGGCACAGCATCCCCAGGCAGCCCTGCTGACAGCTGACCCCAAAAGAAGCCACAGGCACCCATTACCCAACCCAGCCTTTAAGGTTTCATCCCCACTCAAGCCTCCAGCCTCGCTCAGGGGCAGGTTCCTCCCGGGGGTCGGCTTCACAGCACCGGTCCCACCGGCGGGCAGGGGGCCGGGTCCCACGGGAGCCCGAGGGCCGCTCGCCGCGGGGAATGGGGAAGGCTTCCCATGGCCGGACCCGGGCCCGCCGCAAGCCGCCGCCCGCTGGGGCCATCTTGGCATCCCGGGAACGGGCAGAACCCGGCAGCGTCAGATGGGAAGCCCGGGCTTCAGGAGAAGCCAGCCTCGGCTGCCCCCCCTCCCCGCCCCCCGTGGCTGTGAGGCGGAGATGTCCAGCCTCGGGGTGTCCCCCCGCCTCCGTCCCCCGCCGCTCCGGCGGCTTCGGTTTTGTAATTGACCCCTGGGGACTCCCCAGGCGTCATGTCGCAACAGCGCCCTGTCGAGCCAGCAGCGAGTCGTGTGTGCCTGCGGATCACCTCGAGGTCCTCCCGTGGGAGGACTCCGATCCATTATTGCGTGGTGGTGACAGTGCAGTGTATTTTCGGCCACTGAATACACCAAGTAACTCGATAAGTGATACCTCGATAGGCTGTGGAAACTGGAGGCATCAAGCCAAATGTGCCCCGGGTGAGGTCGGTGGGAATGCCGGTCCCCATTGTCCATTCACGAGTGGGTCCGGCACCTCCAGGAAGAGCCGCGGCTGCCCACCGGGGCTGCTCCCCTCGCCCACGCCTGGGCTGGGGGTGGTGGGTGGCTCCAGCCAAATCACTTTTCTCCGTTGGGTGGACAGGGAGGGAGAGATGGACAGCAGAGGTTTCGGGGAGATGAGTAAATCGCCTCGCGAATACAAACACGCTAGCGAATACAACACGCCTTTTCCCGCAGACGGGATCCTCATCAGGAGACTCGAGGGGGAAAAAAATCCCTAATAATTTTACCTTTGGAAAATTGAAGAGTGTGGGGGTGCGTGTGTGGGAGTGTGTGTTCGTGCTGTCGCTGCCAAGCCCAGGATTTTGTTTTCTCTCCCAGCATGCGTTGATGACATCACGAAGTGCCCCTTCTTTGTGTGTCAGTGATGTCACCAAATGCAGTGTGGGGGACAATGGAATCCTGAACTCCGGGCGAGGGCGAGTGGGAAGCGGCTGCTCCTGCTGCTGGTTCAGAGCTGAGTCGAGAGAGGGAAGGGAGGACACAGCTGCTGCTTTGGGGCTGAAACAGGTGAGAGACAGGAAAGCTGCCGGGGATTCCTTTTGCCTGGATTGGTGGGGGCGAGGGGGCTTTGGGATGGGCTCTTCTGTTTTCCCCCCTTATTGCTTTCCAACTGAGACAGGTGAGAAGTTGCTGCTGCTGCCAGACGGACAAAGCAGGTGAGGCAGGGGAGTAGCTTTGGGTTAGACACAGCTGTAAGAATAGGAGGAAAGCAAACAGCCCCCCCGCCGAGCCTAATAGCCCCCTCTCAGCTTTAAAAAAGCAGCCCCGGGAACTGCCCCCTCCCAGCCACCTGCTTCCACCGCGTCCTCGCGGAGCTCCCGCACGGAAGCAGCACCGGAGCCGGGGAGGGCGCCTGTCCCACCCCCACGACACCCCTGCAGGTTACTTTTCAGAAGGTCTCAATTAAAAACTCACGTCCCCCTCCGCGCGCCCCTTTCTCCCTTCCCCGGGGGCGGGGGAGGGAAGGGGGGACCGTGGCCGCCGGGATCCCCCTTCTATCCCCGGAGCGGGGGCTCCGCTGCCCGCCCCCCGCCGGCCCCCGCTCCGCGCCGGGTGGCGCCCCGGCCCCGCCGCCCCCCAGCCCCGCTCGGCGGTGGGGGAGGCAGCCAGGGAAGCCATTGCCTGTTTAATAGTTGCTGTTGCAGCACTTCCGCTTCTCTCCCAGCGAGAGAGACACGAGTGGCCAGGCCCAGCCGCACCGAGGAGGAGCAGCCAGACACAAAGGGAGAGGTAGGGGGACGGGGCACCCCCCGCCGCCCTCCCCGGGGGCAGGGGCGAGGGGCAGGGCCGGCCGCGGCCCGGCGATGGGGCGGCAGCCGGCGGGGCAGGGGGGTCGCGCCCGAGGCTGTCAGGTATCGCTGTGCCCCCGGCCCTGCGGGCCCGCGGCTGGGGCAGCTCGGCCGGGCCCCCCCGGCTCTCGCCCGGCGGGGGCCGGGGAGCTCCCCGGGGCCCCGTGTCCCCAGGGGGGAGGCGGCCGTGTGCTGGCTTCCCGGGCCCGCGGCTGCCCTCCTCGCCCCCCCCCAACCCCCTCGAACTCTCCAGGGGTGCCCTGCCAGCCCCCCCATCCCTCCCGACGGCTTCTCGCCCCTTTCGGGCGCGGACAGCCCGCCGTGCTCGCCCTCCTCCCCCCGTGTCCCCGGGGTGCCCACATGAGCCGTGCTGTCTCCCCCTGGCACCCCGCTGCCCCCCTCCTTGCCACCGGCTTCCCCGGGCCCTCTGCTCTCGCCCCTCTTAGGCCCTGGCCCTCCTCCCTGCCACTTACCCCCCCAGCACAGACCCACTGTTCCCTTGCCCCTTTGCTGGCACATGCCCCTCAGTGCAGTGGGCCTCGGTGGGTCCCATCAGTGCACCCCACTCCCTGCTTAGCCGTTCCCCTTCGTTTGCCCTCTTCCTGCTCCCTCCCCCCACCGCTTACAACACTCGATCCCACAGGCAGGGGTTATCCAGCAGGCAGGGGTTTCCCCACCACAGGTCACAGATTCTCCAGGGTCTTCCCTGTGTTGCCAGTGATGCCCCACTTCCATTTTAGAGCTGGTGATGGTCACCTCGCCAGCCCCATCCCTTCCTGCCTCCCCCACGTGCCTCCCGGGAACCCAAGGGACCGGAGCTGTTCCATTTTTATCTTCTACACCCCTAGGCTGGATAGTGGTGGGTGGTGATGGCTCCTCTTGTGTGTGCAGTTTGGGGGAGATTAGAAGGAATTGCTTTGAGCTTCCCTGATCCTTGCAGTCGTCCTCGTTCCAGTCTCCTCTCATTTCGCACTTGCTTTCTGAGAGGAAGCTTTAAAAAATCCTTTTCCCCCTGCTCCTCGGTGCTCCTAGTGCACGCAAGGCTACTGCTTCTCCTGCTACGGCTGTAGGGCCTGAAGAGGAAAGGGAGACATGAGGATCCTTTAAAAGGAGCATGACCCAAACACAGAGCGAGATTGTCAGCAGCCTTTCTCTGTGTGTGTTTGTGTTCACTGTTTGTTCCCCACGCCCCATGGTGTCTCCTCTCCAGGTTGGGGTGTGTGGTGGGGGGGTCGCTATGTCGGATGACGATTCGAGGGCCAGCACCAGCTCCTCCTCATCTTCATCCTCCAACCAACAGACAGAGAAAGAGACAAGCACGCCTAAGAAGAAGGAAAGCAAAGTCAGCATGAGTAAAAACTCTAAGCTGCTATCTACCAGTGCCAAGAGGTGAGACTGCAGTCAATATTCTCACTGATTCACTGCATCTTTCCTCCTTCCTCATTTTATTTTGCTCTGTACCCCCACTGCTCCCTTGCTGCTTTCATTCCTCATCTCTAGCCCTTGTGCTCAACCTTTCCACATGAATCTGCTATTGTCTCGCATTTTTCAGTGTCTCAGTGCAGTGACTTTCTGCCCAACTTCACTGCTCACTGATCTCTCTTCCTGTTTATTCCTCTCTTCCATCCCAAATATTTCCCTGTCTTTTCTTCCTCTGGGTTGTTATTCTGACCCTCAGTTATTTCTGCTGTCCTTCCTTTTTCCTTATTGGCATCTGTTATCGGGATGGTGTAGGATTGACATGTAGACCTTAATTCTTTCTCTGCTACTGGAAGCTATGTGGTCCCAAGTAAGTCATTGCATTTCAACATCAGTTTCCCTCTCTGTAGGTTGGAATTATCTAGACTGGCTTTTTTACTTTACAGGACTGATTTGGGGATTAATTAATGTTTGTGAAGTTTTGAGATTGCTTGCATTGGGGGAGGGCACTCTAGTGCAAGTGGTGTAGTATAGCCCCAGATCTTTTCCAACAAATATGTTACTGTTATTTTTGTCTGCTCAACACTTACATTGAATTTTCTGTATATGGTTGGATGCTGACTAGAATAAATAATCTACAGCCAGTCCACTTGTGGACATTCTGCTCTAAAATAGTCTTTGCTCACAGCACAGAGTGGGTTGGGGTTTTTTTGAGAATTAAATAATTTTTGTTCCAGGATAATGCGTAGGGAGAGATGCCTGCATAGAATAGTAATTCCAGAACAGCAATGTCAATCAGTTTTCTTCACTTGGACCTACTCAGGCTTTTTTTTTTTTTTTTTAAATAAATTGTTACCCTTTTTTATTTGTTCTGTGTTTCACCTGAATTCAGCACCATCCTGCTTCAGGGAGCTAAGCTGACAAATGGAAGTTTTCAAGTAAACTTGCCGTACTTCAGTAAGAATAATAAACTATCTCACTGAACAGCTTTGCCCGGCAGCAGAGAGGTTGTATCAGAAGGTGTCAAAAGTGACTAGGGTTTTATGCAAAGCCCCTGCTGTTGCAACTAAGTTCTCTGTGGCTTTGTAGAATTTAGGCAGTTTGGTTATTCCAGAACTCCACTCAGCAGGTTTCCATGGCAAACTGACATAGATATTGGCAAATGGTGTTTACGTGTTGTGCCCTTCACTCTTTTAAGAAGATTTTAAACTGCCTAATGTGGAAAGGCTGTGGTTCTTGTGTGACAAGTGGAAGAGAGGCAGAAGATGCTGTCTGAGTTTAAAGGAGAAGGGAGGCAGACTGAGTGCTGGGTGGGGAAATCTGGAAAGGAAGCCTGAGTGACAGTAATGGGACTCCAGGGAAGGGGATGATAGCTGGTTGGGCGTTTTGTGGCAAAAGCAGCATAAGCCCAGAATAGTCTGGGCAGGGAGTACAGGGTGTTGGCTGAACATGATGGAGAAAGGGAGCATCTGGAGTGCTGAGGGAGGAGACCTGGGGATGTGTGGCTCTTGAGGGTGAAGAGAGGGGAGAATTGAAGGTGGCAGGAATGTGCAGGAGCCTCGGAAATAGATATTCACCTTCCTTTAAGTGTCCTTGGGAATGGCGCAGTTATTGACTCCCTCAGGGCCGATGTTTTTTTTTTCTCAGGATGGTGATGAGAAGGGGATGGTGATGGAGAGGGGGAGCCAATTTGGCAATGACTGTTTCTCTCAATCCTGTAAGACAAAATTCCTTTTCAGACTGCAGTTTTCTCCTAGCACTTGGTGCATCACATTTGCAGAGGTTTCCCCTCATTTATAGGCTGGTTGTCAGAGCAAAGCAGACAGACTTTTCCACTGTGTGGCTGGCATCTTTATGGGAGCATGCAGCAGTGCACCTCTCTGTGTTCAGTGCATGATGCCTGAGTGCTTCTCTGCAGGACACCTGTCCTGCTTAGTGGGTTTGGACTGGTGTGAGGCTTCATCTGAGAGTGCCTCTGTCTTATGTACTGTTGCAAACTCAGTGACAGTATGTCTGTAAGGTCTATGTGTTAGCTGCTATCCCACACAGTGACTTACTTTTGTACCTTCTTGCTTTTATTGCCACAGGATTCAGAAGGAATTGGCTGACATCACCTTAGATCCACCTCCCAACTGCAGGTTGGTGTCGAGTCCTTCCCTGAGGAGGGTGGGGGAAGGTGAGGGGCTGAAGTATGCCTGTGTGTTCTAACTGCCTTCAGAGGCTTTCGATGGAGCAGAGGAATGGCTGTTTAGGTGGCCTGCAGTAATTTTGTGAATGCTTGGATGACATTAAATAGTTTCCACGTGGGGACACCTCCAAAGATTGTATGTGTTTTGATCAGTGTTCTGTTTGTTTTGGAAGTTGTTTTGTTTTTTTTTAACAATTGCATTTCAGTCAAGTTACACTGCTTGCGCGTGTATGTTTCGGAAACTGGTCTGTAAAGAAGTGTGAAAACTTTCTCCTTGTTTGTTTTTTTTTGTTTATAAATCTAATGCCTGACTGCGCTAATCTTATATAAATAAGAGTCCTGCCAAGGAAGCAGAGAATAGTAAAATGCTATGAGGTTTTTAGCTCAGAGTGTTCTGTTGTGAGCAGCAGCTCACAGTGGAAGAGAAGCGTGAATTCGTCACTCAGTGGGTGCCCCACAGGAGCACACATGTTAGCTGATGAAATAAAAAGCAGGGATATTCTGTTGCCCTTTATAGAGCAGCCTGTTTTTAAGTGTGTTTTAGAAACTTGTACTATTTTTTTTAAAACATCTAGCAGGTTGATTTGAGGCATTGCATGGTGTCCCTGAGCCTCTTTGCATTTGGAGAGGAGACAGTAGTACCGTAACATCTTTGGTTGTGCTCGTTCATTCAAGAGGAAAGAGGTTTTTGGTCTGGTCTGTGTTCGCTGTAGTTGCCAAAGCACAACTCTGTTCCCATCTTCTTGCTGTAGCTGAGGTTTGATGCCTCTTGATGTTGGTAATAGCAGAAATCAGAGAAAATTATGTTTATAAATAACTGTTCAAATTGGTCTTTTTAGTATTGAATTGCTGCCCACAAATGTATGTGAACCTTTTTATTGAAGCTTTTTGCCACTGTTTGTGTGCAGAGAGGCATTAGCACAAGAATTAGCCTGACAGGTCCAGAGCCACGCTTTCGGTACCAGTCCCAAGGATCATTATTAATGAAAGGAGGGACTGGATGTGATGTGTGATGTCTAGTCTGATACTAAGATTTTTGTGCTGTTTGGAAGATAACCAGTGAGCTCGGAAATCTTTAGCTGCGACAATGTTGTTTTAGGGACAGTAATGACTTATCTCAATAATTCAAGAATTTCCAGTTCTTGGGCTGGAGGCGTCTGTCTTGTCTTTGTCCTGGCTCTGTGTCAGGATGAAGTCCACATGCTTTTCCTTCCTCCTCCCACCGTAACCTGATTTTCATGGGAAAGAAACACAGAAGCACAGCTCAGAAAGGCACTGTGCCTTGCTGTATAGATAACGTGAGTCTGGATGATCAAGGTGCCGGGACTGCAGTGAACTTTGCAAATCTATCCAACAGTTGTGATAGTGAATGAGTATGTTAGATTGCACGTTTCATCTGAAGGTTTGTGTAAATGATATTAGAACCCTAATTTGTCCTTTTTTCAATTGGATTCATTCACAGGTAAAGATGAGCTAGCAGGCTACCTGTCAAAATAGAGTATAGTTTTGATTTTTCTTTTTTAATTACATAGACCTTTGAGGATAATGCACTTCAGGGTCCGCATAGTAAGTTTGTGTTGTTTCAGCCTTTATAAATATTTCTAATGGTAAAAACTGGATCCTAGCACAAGTAGTGATGATTGATCTTCACCCGTAGTGGAATTACAAGTATTCTGCATTCCTCTGACCTTCCAGTGGATGGAGGCTGGCAACTCTTGCAAATAATATATGAAACCGATGTAGTTGTTACTGTCCCTTAATACGTTGATAGGTAGGAAACCGTGAGTGAAGGGGTTTGTTGTGTGTATGTGTGACAGTGCTGAGAGTGGCAGAGAGCACCTTTGCTTATGGCTCACAAGGCTCCAGTTGTGCAGTCAAGCACTGGGAGTTTGCTTCTAGCAGCGGGTTTGTAAAAGGGTGAGCAGGTGCTGATTGCCACAACAGTGAGATGAGTTTCAGCTGTCACAGTTATCGGGAAAGTTCACCTCTTGTGGATAAAGAAACAGTCAGTTTATGACTGTTAGGATATTAAGCAAGTGAGAGGCTCTGGTTGCTGCGTGATGTTTAAGGTTGCCAAAATTTGCTCTTGGGAAGCCTGCTAACAGTGACACTGCTTTCCTTTATGTTTTTTCCTTCGTATGAACATTATTGGCATGCTGTGAGGGAGGTATTAAATACATAGTTTGAGAACTTAGTTTCAATTTCCTGCCTTTATGACTTTGCCTATTCTCACCTTTCCTCTGACCTCCAGCCCCTCATATTTCTGCTGTCTTTGTGCCTCTACAGATGTTTTTCAGGTGTCACTGGAGGGGAGGCCAGTCTTCTCCTTTTAGATCTCACTCTCTCCTGCAAGTTTAATCTCAAAACTTACATATTCAGGGAGTTATATACAATGCCAAGTACTACTTGTTCTGTTGTCAACTTCAGGGGTGCCACAGCATCAGAAGTCACATTTGAAAATGTGCATCTGAAACTGTATCCTGTGTTATGTTGGAAATGTCATAATCTTTTTTTCTGGACATCTGTTCTTACGCACCTCACCACCATCTTTGTATTTTCCCCTGTTCCATGCCCAGTGTTTGATAGCAGTTTATGGCTGCCTGTGCTTTAATTTTTGGCCTCACTGCGAAATGCTGTTCTTCTTTCAGTCTTATTGCAGAAATGAGAGTTCAAGATATTTAGCACATCCCAGAGCAGCTCTGCATATTGAAAGACAAAGCTTTAGGTTGTGAATGATTTTTAGTAAGAGCTGGGATTTTTTTCTTCTTATAAAATACCACATGTAAGATGCAATTACAAATAATGACAACCATTTGATTTTTTAAAAAAAGAGCTTGAAACCAAATGTTACATTTTTATTTTTGTAGCTTGCAGTGGCTGTATTTTCATGTGTGTAACCCACAGATCATCTGTTTAAAAAACAAAAACCAAAAAACCCAAACCCCAAACACACTCAACACCCTGTGATTGAGCAGCTGTGTGGGTTTTAGACATATGTGGGTAATATGAGGGGAAGTTTATCCCAGAACTTCCTCTCTCCTCAGTACTTTCCTTGCTTCTGGTTTTCCATAGCTTGTCTATGTCCCCCAAAAGCTTACCTGTGCTTGTTACTCTTTTACTGCTTTGTCTCTCGAAGTCCGTTTGCCCCTCCTGTCTCCCTCCCCAGGCTGCGATTTTGATTTTGTGTAGGCTAGTGCAGTTACTCGTGCAGAGGTGCAGAATATGTGCATGGAAACACAACCTCTGTTTGGCCTGCATTCAAAAAATAGATTTTTTGACTTGAAGACATTTTCTAAAAGGATATGTTTAATACATGTCATGAAATCATGGGTTCCTGATGAGAGCAATGCTGTCCTCATAAGTGTCCTAGTGTAATATATGTGTGGCAGCTACTTCTGAATGGATTTAAGTCCTCTTCATCACCTTCAGTAGTCTGCTGCTCTAGAGGTCTTTAATTTCTGCAAGTTGGTTTGACTTCTGATATTAATACTGAGTTATGAAAGTTAAATGTGGCTTTCAAGTTCAAAAGGTGGTTAGTGATTAATATAAATTGGAGAATGACTGTTTGGACCTAAAGTATTTTAAATCTTTTAAGAGTGTACCTGGTGATTTCTTCTCCTACTTCGTATTATATCAAAAAGTTATAACTCTCTTGTTTTAGGACTCAATGAAGGTACCTAGAGACTTTTTACTTTTGATCTTCTGTTGGTGACAGAGCAGTATGTCATGTCTTTGCTTTGAGTCAAGGAAGTATGTGTCTGTGACTGTCCACAGATGTCAGAATATGGTTCCATCTTGATATGTAGGCAGTCCTATCTTTGTTGAAGACACTTGTATTGTGAAAAAGCTTGCTTTCTGTCCCTGTGATAAAGTTTTCAAAGCTTTGTGTCATGTATTTGATCTATGTATTTAAGGATCTCCTTATAGTAAATCTGCTTGTTGAGGTTATGAAAGAAATGTTTTTCCCCACTTTTAGGGTGGGGAGTTACAGCACACAAAAACCAAGTGAGTTGTCCAGGGTCACGCAGGAAGTCTCTGGCAAAGTGGAGAAATGAATGTAAATCTCCTTTGTTTCAAGCTAACTAGCAGCTGAGCTGTTCTGCTGGAACTGTGTGCATCAGTTGCATTATGAGCAAGGCTTTGAATTTGAGCTTTATTGGGTGTCTGGTATTGACTGTATGTAAGCATGGTAATTTAATGTTATTTCTCCCATCTGTGTAGAGGGACCAAAATGGATATTAACTAGAATTAATGTTTTTTAATCTTTCTTACCCAAACTGAAACAAGTTTTTCTCCACATGGCTCATTTAAGTCCACATAGGCAAGACCAGCTGTTATTTAAACAAAAATAATTTTCAAACACTTACTGAAAGAGGAATTTGCCTGCAAGACTTACCATTGCTTCAGAGAAAAATGCCATCACAAATTCATTATTTAGATAATAATAAAATACAGTTGTGTTTCCTGGCACTTTCAGCCCGGTTTTTGTAAATTCACAGAATAAGGACCAGATCTCCCTGAGAGTCTTGTGAAAGTTAACTGTCATCACTTAATAAATATGTCTTGGTAGAGATGGTGGGGAGAAGTGCTCTGCATTATAATGTATGGAATATTAATAGTTTTCAAAACTTTGCAATGTGGAATTAAAATTTGTTGGCTTGGAAGAAGTCTGCATAAAATGTATGGCTCAAAGGCAGTTTTGAACTCAATAGTTTCATATTATAATTAATATATTTCATCTACATACCATGTAAGTCTGGCATTTGTCTTACTTACATTTGTTTTTTATGGTACTTGTAATTTTTTGCAAACGTAATTTTTCAATACTTCCAACTCCAATAATGCTTGAAGTACTTTTGCTTTTAAATCTAGTATATTATCTAAGGATAATGTGTCACTGTTTAATATCAGTGTTGGTTTTGTTATTTTCATGCTTGGAATAGTCCTTCC